TGCTGCTGCTGCATCACTGCTGGGTTGTGCTGCTGATGTGGAGGGGACAGGAGGATTTGCAACGGTGGGACTGAGAAACCTCAGCAGCGCATCTGAAGACAGAAGAGGAGTATGTGACACCAGTCTAATAATAAACACATGATTTTAAGAATAAAATAAAATGAAATAATATAAATGAAAAACCTAGAGATACATGCATGATGTAGACTATACTGTATAATATACAATGTACTTTTTCTGATACAAATTATATAAGTAATTCATATATTAGTAACAATTTCAATTTTATTGTCATTACAGTGAAATGCTAATTAGCAGAATGCATTGCAAAGAATGAGTAAACTGCAGTATAATATACCATGTGGGAATGCTAAATTATGCTCTAACATTAATGATGTGCACTTTAACACTGTTAAGTTTAACATGATAAACCCACTTTAGACAGTATGAACTGTAACACAACAAACAGCTAGGCTTACAACTATGGAACATGAAGAGCATTTTGATTGACTATTACAAGCTGAGACAACGTCAGATAATCATGTCAATGCTAATAACGTTATAACACCTGCTGAATAGATCTAATATTTACACATTTGCCCGAGGAGGAATGATGGGGGTAGTTACATTACTATTTTCACACACAATGTTCAGCTCACTTGATTGATATTCACCCAACCTCACAAATTGACGCCTCTGTGTCAAATAACTTCTGATCCATTTCCCAACCATTCCTCTGATCCCATATTTCTCCAACTTATCCATTAATAGTTCATGATTAACTGTATCAAAAGCTTTTTTTAGGTCAATAAATATCCCCATCGTAATCAAAGTGTGGTTATAATGTTGTCATTTCTACGGGTGAGTCAGAAAATCCACGACTCCAAGTGCCAGTGTTTGTATGTTTATTTAATGAACAGAAACTAAATCGGTGTGAACCTCTTTTAGGGACAACCATAAACCTTTAACAGCCACAGAACGACTTCCTCCTGTCCTCCGTTGTGATTGCGTCACCGGATACGTCTTGTTGCATTCCGCGAAACAGGCGGTACAGAAGAGTACAGAACTATGACAGCTCTGTAGTGACTGTCATGCCCTGACACCCCCAGTGTGCTGTAGACTGGGATTTTTTTAAACAAATTTTTATTAAAAAAAATACGTTTTTCCAACGTTTTGAAATTGAGTCTGTTACGCTTTTTTGATACAACTTCTCCAGCTGTAGAAAACACCCACTCACACGCACAGATGAGGCTGGAGTGCAGAGAAATTGTAAGGCAAGTCGGAAGAGGTTTGGATAGATTGCCTTTTGGTTGTCCCAGTATCTCATAGGATCCTGGGACCTGGCAATACCTTATTTTCCGATACGAGATCAAAATGGTCCCACACGGCAGAAACCTTTGTTTTGGCTTGAGGCTGCTCCATAATTCTTGATGAATGTGACGATGAACCCCAAAAGATCAGAGATTTGTTTTGGCAGATGCATCCCGTTGACATATGCGCTTCCTTATAAACACAGTTTGGCGCGGCAGTGTCAGTTCGAAACAGTTCCTGTATCGGTCACGTGACTTTGTTAAAGCGATACGCGCACCGACACGGGGTTTTGCTCTAAGTCTAAGAGCTCGGCGCATCGGTGTTGCCGGACCCATCACTATTGGATAGTCTTCATAAGCTTATATTAATTTGCATATGTCAGATAACTGTTAAATTCACAATACATATCTTGGTGAAGCTCCTTTATTTGTGACTACTGTGACATAAGTCACATACCATAGTCTGTTATAGCAAAGTGAATGTATAGTCTGGTTATGATATACACACATCAAGTGAAATACACTGCAGGAAATGTGAGTATACCAAGGAACATTTGGCCATAATATAACAATTTATCTAACTTTAGTGTGTGGTCAAACATTACACAGTGCTCCGTTTTTAATTGTTGCCCTTAGTTTTTTTTATATTGTTTTTGGTTTAATAATTGTAACTTGTGATAACATGAGCTCGCCTCTTTTCTGCAGAGTTTCTGATTCATAGTCAAAAGTTGTGGGCTGCTGGGAGGATGTGGTGTCCATATTTTTTGACGACAAAAGGCTGCTGTTAACCATTTTGTCGGACTCTCGTCAGTTATTTGTTTCAGTCATTATTTTTTCATTAAAAATGTATTTGCAGTTGCAACATTGGCTGTTTTCATCTTCGCCAATGGTGTTTGCCTTGGTGTATTTTGTCATGATAGTAAAACCGAATCGGCCTGTTTGGTTGGATAAAACAGTCTTGAGAAGATCTCAACAGTGGGACTATTGGTGTGGTATTTGCTTCAGCAAATTATGAAAATAGATTTACTACTTACTAGTAATACTAATAATAATGTTTTACAGACACACTTTAGACAATCTAAAACTATTTTATTAATGATTATTTCATTAATAATATAGCCAGATTAAAAACAATCCATATATTCAGAAAATTAATTACAACAATGTCATTTGTATTTTGATCAGGCACGTTGCATTGTTTGGGGTCCTCACTGGAGGTTCGGCGCTAGTACCCAGGCAATTCGCAGCTGAAGTGAATACGGGTGAAATTCAGTGAAACGGTTGCTGAAATCAGGTTGTTCTAGAACTTTGGATACACAGCCGTCCAGCAATGAATCTGGAACTGCTTGGTAACATTTTAAAATTTTGATTTCTATAAGCTGTTGTTCGTACGTAATGCTATGTAACGCTACTTGTTATGGTTAGCATTGTAAGTTAGCCTAGCATGTTAACAGCAATCCATGCAAACTAAAATCACATTAATGTTTAGAACCCCAGTGATAACTGTATGTTAAATTGTTTCATAGGGTATCGTAAAGTATCATCCGAGCCTAATAAATGTTTATACATAGCATTAAACGTTTGTTAATAAGTGGAAGCAGACGAAGTGGCAGTTAGCTAACGTTAGCCACAATACATTATCTCTATTATTATTATAACGTTATTTGAATGAAGTGTCTTTTTATAGAAAGAGCATTAAGTTACTGTTGGATTTATTGGTAATGTCATTATATGTATGTCATTATGTGAAGCCTATGAACTGCTTGCTCGTTACGTTATTGGGACCACAGTGAAATAAAAACAATACACAGATGGTCCCTATGACAGGGGATAACTTAGCCCCAGCTTGTCTTGCTTGTGGACTAATCTAGTCCAGGTGTGATGCCGTGACTTTTGATGTGATGCAGATATGGTGGAAATAGAATAAAGGTTTCTCAAATGTACATATGGTTTTCATAGTGTCCATGCCCATGTTAATGTAGTGCAGAATTTGATTATGAACTAGACAATGATAGTTTTTTTTTTTTGCTTCATTTCAAATTATATTTTAAAGTTCTTGCTTAACTCAGATAAATTTGTACTTTTCGTTAGCTGTGGTTTTAAGCATAAATTTTAGGGTAGATATGCTTCTGTCTTTTAACTTTCCGTGAATGAATTTGAGTTCTTCCTCTGAAATTACTGACAAGGTTTTCTCTCATTTCTCACTTTAAATTTGAATTATTTAGTTTTTCTTTCTAGTGAGAATTCATTGTAAATGTTTCCAGTTTTAATTTGGGATCTGTCTTTTTTTAATGAAATTGTAAAGACTGACATTAGTTTTAGATGAATAAAGGTTTTCTTTTTTGTAAATTTTGGTATTCAGTTTCCTCAGAAAGCAATTCCTTGACTGTATTGTTTTATGAAACTCCAAATATGCTGCACCACAAAGTGTCTCTGATCACTTTCTTCTGTATTTCTTTCCTAGAATCATTTGGGCAGAACTATCCAGAGGTAAGTCACTGGCTCTTATTGTGCACATGAGCTAGATAGGAGACCTGGTTTATATATATGTACTGCAAATTATCCGAACACCTACAGTACACACATGGACTTTGATCTCTTGATTTAGGGAATGGTCATATGTGAAGCATTACTTTTCCACTGTTGTGTTGCTAGGAGGCAGATGGGACTCTGGACTGCATCAGCATGGCCCTCACCTGCACCTTCAACCGCTGGGGCACCCTGCTGGCTGTGGGCTGTAATGACGGCCGCATCGTCATCTGGGACTTTCTCACAAGGGGCATCGCCAAAATCATCAGCGCACACATCCACCCAGTCTGCTCTTTATGGTGAGACACATCAGAGAGTGTGTGTAGTCATCACCACCTGGTGTCTTGCTACCGCCTAGCTAGCTATTTTTTAGTCTAAGTTCACACTAAACTGGTTTTTAAAGCACAGTTTTTGTTATGATCGCAATGTATGACAACAATAAATACAGGTTAATGACAAAAGCTTTGCTGGGTGATACTGACATTTAAAATGAGTGATCATTGAGAGTTTAGACCACAAGCCACAGCAAGTAACTTTTAGTGATGACTTACAGAAATCTATATATTTCCGTTTTTGTGCAGCTGGAGTCGAGACGGCCATAAATTGGTTAGTGCCTCCACAGACAACATAGTCTCACAGTGGGACGTCCTGACTGGAGATTGTGACCAGAGATTTCGTTTCCCTTCGCCTATCCTGAAGCTGCAGTACCACCCCAGAGACATGTAAGTGACCTGTACATGTTACATCTGAAGTGTTTAAAGGTTTGGCTGTTGATCAGATACAGTTTGAACAGCCGTGACATCAACTGATCTGTTTTTGCATGTTTAACCTGTCTTGATCAGTGATAAGGTAATGTCCTGTGCTGTTTTATACTTACAAATTATGTTGATTGTTGTTTTAGGGACAAGGTGCTGGTGTGTCCGATGAAGTCAGCTCCAGTCCTGTTGACTCTGTCAGACTCCAAACATGTTGTCCTGCCTGTAGACGATGACTCGGACTTGAATGTGGTGGCAGCTTTTGACAGACGGGGCGAGTACATCTACACTGGCAATGCCAAAGGAAAGGTTAGTTTCTCTCTAAGTCAACCTGTATTCACAGTGCCACTTCCTTCACATCATCACATTGGCAAGGGGTATCTGTTGGGTTTTTCCCTCTGTTATAATAATAATAATAATAATATTAAGGTCTAGACCTTACTTTGTAAAGTGTCCTGAGACAACTTTTGTTGTAATTGGTACTGTACAAATAAAACTGAATTGAATTGAATCACATGTGAAGACTGCACAAGTAACTAACATTTAGGATGAGAAAAAGTTATTGTATGTGTAGAATTAGAACATCTGTGACTACCAGTGGTAGAATATAAAAATACACAGACCGAAATCATCAAATGCACTTTTGATCCAGCTGAAATAATAAAACAGTTACTAAAAGCTCTGATAAACACCCAGACATTTGTAAATTTCCCTTCACTCACATTTTACATTTAGAACTGTTGTTATGATGTTAAGTGTTTTTTTTTCTGTTTCTCTTCAACATCTCGTCTCCCTCTGTTTGTGTTTGATACCAGATCCTGGTATTGAACACAAACACCCAGGAGCTGGTGGCATCCTTCAGAGTGACCACTGGTACCAGCAACACCACTGCCATCAAATCCATTGAATTTGCACGCAAAGGCAGGTGAGAAGCAGCAGGAGGTCTTTGTGTTTCTAGACCTAGAGGGACAAAAACAGTCAGCACTACATGGTCTACAATGAGACTGTATTCTACTTTGGGTTGTACTTCTTCTGTGACACAGCCTGATTTCATGTTGATTGTAGAATAGATCCATAATACATTATGTATTTGGGAGCGTTCTTGCCTACAGAAAACCAAAAAAAATTTGCTTTAAAGGTCAGATCCAAGAAAACAGAGCTCTTCTGTGGTTTGTTTTCCTGTCTTTCCCATTCTACCTCTTTATCTTTTACTTGTGTGGTGTAGAAGAGAATTATCTATGTAGAGATACTGCTTGCAAACCAATGATGGTAAGATGATGTCAGGGGGTAGGACTGGATAAGTCTGACTTCTTCCTACTCCATTCAAGCATGTACTAGGTATAAGCAAATTGATATTGGATTAGCATTTGTTGGATATGTGTAAAATTATGTGTGTTGACATATCAACTGTCTTTACATGCTTGAAAGAATAAATCAAATCAAATCAAATCAAATCCACCTGTTCTGTTTTCTGTGCAGCTGCTTCCTCATAAACACAGCAGACCGAATCATCAGGGTGTATGACGGCAGGGAGATACTGACCTGTGGCCGAGATGGTGAGCCTGAACCCATGCAGAAACTACAGGACCTGGTCAACAGGTACGTTAACACAGGATGCTGTTCCGTTACCCCAGAGGACATGTGTTGGCTAACACTTGCTGGCACAGTTAGGTTTTGTAGACCTACATTTGTCTCTTCCTCTGACCTCTGTTTGTTCATGTCCTCCAACCATGAATTTTCTGTTCAGGACTCCGTGGAAGCGCTGCTGTTTTTCTGGGGATGGTGAGTACATTGTGGCTGGTTCAGCCAGGCAGCACGCCCTCTACATCTGGGAGAAGAGCATTGGCAACCTGGTGAAGATCCTGCATGGAACCAGAGGAGAGCTGCTGCTGGATGTTGCTGTAAGGGCATCAAACTAGAAACCTGGCTCAGTAGAACACTGTATAGAGATTCTAATATTGACGCAACACTTTTGTATATGTTTACTCATCTCACCTCTGTTCAGTGGCATCCTGTTCGCCCCATCATCGCCTCTATCTCCAGTGGAGTGGTGTCCATATGGGCTCAGAATCAAGTGGTAAGTAAACATTCGTAGCAGTAACAGTGTTAGTACTGAGGGCGGGGGGTGTTAGTACTGAGGGCTCTTGCTGGTTTTTCCAGGAACGCCAACTATGCCTTTAATGAAGCACGGTTACCAGCTAAGTTGAGTCTTTGTTTACAGGAAAACTGGAGTGCGTTTGCTCCAGACTTCAAAGAACTGGATGAGAATGTGGAGTACGAGGAGCGAGAGTCTGAATTTGACATTGAGGATGAAGACAAGAGCGAGCCTGAGCAGACAGGTAGGGAATGCGCGCGCGCACACACACGCACGCACACACACACACACACACTACAATTTGAGAGGGTCTGTTATGGGTCATAGAAGGCCTCTGGAAATCCTTACTTCACACACACTGTCTTTTTTCTTACTACAAGCTGAAAATTTTAAGAATACACTTTATAATACATATACAAAGAAATCACAGTAATAAACATTTCAAGCAAAGCCTTTATCCTCTAGCGTGGCTCCTACACTGCCTGACAAACATTAAAATATAAGGAGTGTTAATTTGTATATGAGACAGTTGTCTTCTCTCATAATCCGCATGTAAATTCTGTCTGCCTTTAAATTATTGGGTCCAATCCTGTAGAACAGTACTTCAGAAATACTAATTAAAACTGCATTCTCAGTCTGTGGTGGGCTCACACCAGTAAAGTGATAAAATTAAGAATATTCAAAAGTATGTAGTGTGCAGGCTTTATTTATTAGATTTGTTCTGTGAGTTGACATAAAGGAAATTAAAGAGCAACTTGCAGCTGGAAATAATTAATACAAGCTTCTGCAGCTTGTGAAGCATCTCAGCCAAACCAGTAGTAGTAACACTTTATAGTGAATCTATAGAAAAATGTTTTGCTTTCTCCTCCTTAAGATTATTGTGCAGTGACAGTCCAAAGTCACAGTTTGACTGATTACTGGTGTGTCCTATTGTGAACAATGGCCCCAAAAAATGTAAACATTTCTTGCGTACTCCCTCCCTGAGAGAGTTTTATTACTAGGCTGTTGCTGTTCTGCATGTTTGAAACGTCATATCACATACTACATTTGAATTAACCGAATGAGACAAGTGTGAGCCTGCTGACTGAAGGTTGACCACCACCTGTTGTGCTGTCAGATTCTCTGGTTCTCTCGGGATGTATATGATATGAAGTCGTGCTCATGTTGCAGGTGCAGACGCTGCGGAGGATGAAGAGGTAGATGTCACCACCGTTGACCCCATAGTTGCTTTTTGCAGCAGGTGAGAAAGAACAAGACAAAGTGCAAACAATGAGTCATGACATGTATTGTGCTTCCTGATCTCGTCCCCCGAATTAGCAAAACCTTTTAGCCCAAAGTATCAGTACTAGTTGTACTCTTGTCACAAATACAAATGCAGAGCTTTCAAACACATCTTAAAGTTGGAGGATGCTCTTAGCAGGCACCACCTCCTTATGATGAAACAAGTAATTAGACTTGGTGTTGAGATTTTTTTTGTTAGAAAAGAGTAAAGAGAAATAGATGAAATAATAGAGTAAGATCAGTTTTATCATTCATGAATTTAACATAATGTAACGATTTCCTCCATCTTTTTTCATATGATTTGCCTAAATAAGAGAAAACTAATGAAACTGCAGAAAGTCACCCACTCTTTTATTCCTATATATCTAGTGTTGACAAATTTGAGATAATTATTGCTCCTGTTGTGAAAACATTTCAACATTCTTTGGGTGTCTTATCTGTACGTGTGCTGCTGATTTGCAAGAATTAAGGATTCTGTTTTGTTGCTTCAAGCAGTCATGCTTCTGACCTTAATCTTAGAAATATTACAAGAATTAGATCGATCTTTTCACCTCGAGACCCTGCGAGAGTCCACTATACCTTCTTCACTGCACTGACTACTGTGAGATACTCAGCTGCCTTCATGTTAGAGTGGATCATTTTGTTAGTACATTCAATCTTATTTATTTAATACTGCTGTGTCTGTTTATCAGCATTCATTTTAATATGTTTATTAAGCACTTTGTAAACCTCTGTTTTTTGAGAAGTGCAGTACAAATAACAGTAATGATTAGAGTAAATGTAACTGTTCAGCTGCTGAGTCTTGTGTGTTCATGTCCTGTAGTGATGAGGAGCTGGAGGACTGTAAGGCCCTGCTGTACCTGCCCATTGCCCCAGAGGTTGAAGATCCTGAGGAAAACCCCTTCGGCCCCCCGCCGGACACCTCGGTCCAGGCTGCCACTCCAGAGGATGCTTTGGCTGGCGGGGGGGAGAAGACGCCAGCCTTCATCTGAAGGAGGCCCTGCCAAAAAGAAAGCCCGCACTACCACCATTGAACTGCAGGGGGTGCCGAGTGATGGTGAGAGAATATAAGACAACAATACATATAGAAAGAAATTCACTTTCGGCTTTTCCCGTTTTAGGGGTCGCCACAGCAAATTGTCACACTGACGACTCGCATGTTGACATTTGGCACGTGTTTTACGCCAGATGCCCTTCCTGTTGCAACCCTGATTTGAACCTGGGGCACAGCGCCTTAACCACTGGCCTACCAGGGACGGCTAAGACAACAATACATATACATTTTGTTTAAAACTTTAAATACCAGCCAAGGCCTTTACTTTCATTGGCTGCAGGAAATTAGACAGTCTTCTATAAAAGATGGGCCTTTATTTCAGTTTTTTTTCCCTTATGTCTTCACCACTGTCATATGTGTAATGTCATATGAAAATTAGCCAACTGTGGCTTTTGTTTTATTCTGACAAAGCTGATCCATCACCTCTTTCCTCAGAGGTGCACCCCCTGCTAGGTGTGAAGGGGGATGGCAAATCAAAGAAGAAGACAGCCGGTCGACCCAAAGGCTCCAAAGGTAAAGACAAAGACTTCCCCTTCAGGCCCAAGCCCTACAGGGGCGAACGGCCCTCCTTCCCCATGGAGCCCCTGGGCAGCTCTGGCCTGGGAGGTGGAGGAGGAGGAGGAGGGATGAAGGGCAGAGCAGAGGGGGGCCTGGCCACAGGTAAGCACGCCACTGTCCCTGCTGCTGAGTGTGGGAGCTCTGCTAGTCCTGCTGCCCTGCTAGTCTGACTCACACCTCGCCAGCCCAGTCCCCGCATCCCTGTACTGCTTCCACCCAACATAACCCCCCTTCCTCCCAACCACACAGCTCACTGACAGAGACCCACCTGTTGTATAGCCACAGTCTGGAGGTCCAAGCACAGGACATGCACTGTCTGATAGACCAGTGCATTGTAAGGTGATGTGCAAGGTAGAATAGCAAAACATGAGGAAGGCAAAGCATCATGCTGGCAGGGTGGAGCTGGAAAAATAGGCAGACAGTTATTTGCAATGTCTAAAAAAAGACAATCAAAGAGGGAACAACTGGGATTTTTCAAACAACCAGCTTTAGTACACTGCAGATTTTGCTCTTTAAACCAGTCCATTCTCTCTCTCTTCCATTATTCTCATACAGTTTATAGTATAGGACACGAGAGCCCTGCTTCACTGTTCCAACAGGCCAGGTCAGAGCTCTAGATTGAGGAGTTGATATTAACCCCTTATTGACATGCACCCCTTTTCATTAATCTGACCGATTTGAACATGTGTGCTTCATCAAATCAAATCAAATTTTATTTGTATAGCGCCAAATCACAACAAAAGTCATCTCAGGACACTTTACAAACTAAGGTCTAGACCTTACTGTTATCACTATTATTACATAGGGAAAACCCAACAAATCCCCCTTGAGCAAGCACTTGGCGACAGTGTTTCATGTCTGAATGAGCACCCTGATCACTCTGCATGCAGTCCAAACCTACAGAACACACTACTGAAGTAGCTGGACGTGTCTACAGCAGCAGTGATAACCTCAGCTGTGTAAAGACGCTCAGATACTTCCTTAAAATTGCTCAGGCATGTTAAAACTGATTAGATGACATACACTACCAATTTGTGCTGTGTTTGTTCTACTGTAATGATATTATGTTAAAGGATTAGTCTAGCAATACTGTGTATTTCCTTATTGTCACAAAAATTTATGTGCAGACCCATCAATGAATTAGTTCACTGATAAGTATTGACTATGTATCCAAAGCCTGATAGATCTTATTCCTCTGTGCCAGACTTCCACTGTTGTCTAAAAGCTATTAAAACACATCAGTGTTATGCTTGGTGACATGTTCCTTTATTAACATGAACACACACACACACACAGACACACTAGTTATTTTGGCTCAGTCCCACTTGCACCATCCTGCTACTGGGAAAACTACAACAGCAGGTGCATATTATATTATACTCTTTGTTCTGACAGTGAGTGGTGCTTCCACAGATGACTCCTGTTGCACCCACATAGTTTCATCTCTACCTGACTGTGGTGTTACATCTGTGTAACCTCTGCTGTCCTCAGCCTCACTCTAATTGGTTGTCATTTACACATTGGTGAAGCTGGATCGTGGTTGGCAGAGGGGTGTTGATGTGGCTAACAGTGGGATGGTGCAGCTTGTTTCCCTGCAGGCTAGCTGGCTAGTTTACATCTACTTCCTGCTTGGCCTTTGACCCTCCTGCTCCCACTCCCACCTCGCTCCTTGGGCTTGCCATGTGGCATGAACCTTTGTCTGCAGCAGCGCTGCTCAGGTCCTGTCGTTTCTGTGTGTGTGTCAGAGAGATGTGGGCGATGGTATACATTTATGTAGTTGGTATTAATGCCTGAACTCATCCTACTAAGATCCATATCAATCTCATACACAAACAGAAATGTAGACGAATAGTTGGTGGTTTCGGGGGCCCTTATGTGCTTGTACTGTTTTTTGATGAACAGTAGCGTATTCATCCACCCAGTGCTTGTGTGCAGCATCTCCAGCTACAGCTTCATTTGCCAGATACAGTCTCTAGGCACAGGTTTTGTTTTTGTTTTCTCTACACAGGCACGACAGAACTAAAGATGGCAACCTCACTCTCACATCTGGACTTCAGGAAGCTGCATACAGGCACTGCACTCATTTTTACATTTCTGTTTGTGTACAAGTTAAATGAGACACAACATGTTCATTGGTGATCATACTGTTGTTGGTAGATTGTGAACAGATCAGGACTAGCTCTTGTCCCCTGCTAGCTAAGCTAACTGTGTTCTCTGTAATTAAAGGACATGAGATTGATATTGGCCGCACTCCTGAAATTACAATGAGTGTTTCCTCAAATGTTAAACTGTTTTTATTGCAGTGTTTTCCTGAAGCACTAGTATCTATAGGCAAATTATTAAAACTGTTTCAAGCTAACAGCTAGGTCTATAAATTATGTTTGGCCATTTTTTTCTGATTACTACTGAAAACAGTTTTAAAAAAAGTTCTTGTACTTAAACATGTTTGTGTTAATCAGTGTAAAAATATTGTTTTGGAATTTATCCTGAAACTAAACGATATTGTGAATTTATATCCAGGCCTGGGGAGAAGGTGATTTATTATGTCAAAATTGAAAGAATTTTAAATGAAAAGATCACATCATAAGCTCTCAACTATAGAAAGAACCAAGCTTTTAGTCTTCTTCTTGCTTTAGTCTGGTTGCTCATGATGTATCTGTCTGATGTGAATCTGTTTCTCTGCAGGGAGTTTAACACAGTCGTACAAACAGCACGACATTGGAGGGATGGACTGATCGCTTCTGTGTACAGATATGGAGAAGCATTTATAGGCTCAAACAAAGAGACACAAATTCTGATGTCATGTACAGACTGAGAGAGCAGCCAGTTTGATGTGCAAACTGTTTCCTGCACATTGTCACGGGGAAGCTCCTCGGCAAGGACCACTGACTGCAGCCACCAAGACATCACAGTAGAGATCACGTCCTCTGCCTCTGTAGGATTTGTCATGTAGAGAACACCTGTGTCTTCATAGTGTGTATGTCTGTTGTCTTTCTTGTTTTTATACACATTAAAACATTTTGATTTATAAATAATGAGCTACTGTGTGGGTTTGCTTTAAAGCTCACCTAGCTCTTGAAAGATGATGGATTTCAGTGGCAATTTCTGAAAGCTCAAGAAGTTACAGATAGTGATTTATCAGCCAAATTGTTTTTTTTTACTGTAACAACATAACATGGGACAAGGAGGTGTAGCATCCACCACTTTGATATACAGTACATGCCTATTGTATCCAGTGAGGCAGGTTATTTTTCAGGAATCTGTTCATTGAGACTGCCACCCCTTATGATGAAGCTAATTAATGCACAATACACAAGCTGTAGAAATGTTTCTCATCAAAGAATGTTTTGAACTGAAACTTAATCTAGAGGAATGTGAGCCTCATGTTGAACTGCACAACTTTAGAGGAATGTGAGCCTGATGTTGAACTGCACAGAGGCTAATTTATGTCAGGAAAAACAAAAACATTAGCATACAAATAAATGTGTGAAATGAACATTATGTGAGATTATGAGTTAATTATAAATGTCAAGGTCTTGTGACTTAGTAAAAAAAATTTCACACGACACCTACTTGGTGCAACATTAGACTAACTCATTTAAGCTCTAAGGAAACAGAGGCCTCAGATAGTTCACAGTATAAGAAATACTTTTACTACTGTTGTAAAGTTGAACTAATTTTAACTAATTTATATTCTGTTGGGTAGTTTTGGTTATTTTATAAGGTCATTTTATACCTTTGATGTAAATTACAAATTTATAATGTAACCAGTAACCAAAGCTTTTAACTAAATCTAGTGGCATAAAAAAGGTATATCTCTCAATGAATGTATTGGAGAATAAAGTATAAAGTAGCACTAAACAGAAATGTTTAGGTAAAGTACAGGTAGGTTACTTCACATTACTTATACCTCTTTACATTGACCACAGGTAGTTTGAACAAGTTATAATCAGATCACAATACTAAACTACTTTTTCAGTGTTACTGAGTGATTTTCTCGTTTTTTTTCTCACAAACGGGAATTACCCATTACTCAGATTATCTATTGCCCATTTTTCGCTTTGACCTATCTGACCAATCACAGCGGAGTAGGCGGGACAACAGTGGATAGCGGTGACGTTGAGCAGCTCATCAGCCAATCAATCAGAGAGCCCGTCAAACTAAACAGGGTTAATCAAAGTAGTACCGGAAATGTTTTAAAATAAAAGCAACAAAATTCGGAGTTGCTTGTTTCAGGGAAAAATAGACATAGTAACACCATCAATTTCAAGATTTTGCGAGCTGTTATAACACCATGTAGGCTATGTGATGATGGGTTATTCTGACTCTGATCTTAGTGCCTGTCAATATTTGTAAAAAGAAGAGAAAGTCATAGTAATATCACACAAATCAAGTATGGTTAGGTTTGTAATGATTTTTTTTAAATTATGACTTTCTCTTCCTCATAATATTTTTTGTCATAAAATTACGACATCCTCTTTCCGACTTTCTAAAATAAATTACAACTTTATGCATATAATATTATAACGTTTTAAACGTTGCTAAATAATGAGTACCTGTGTCCACACTGCCCTATGTTGCTCAAAATTAGTCCGCCTAATGATATTTATTTCGAAATGTTCTTTAGCACATTGAATTGTGTATTATCAACGACTATCGCCTAAAGACGATTTTATTCTTCAAATAATAACCGGATGTCGTGTTTTGGCAGGTATCTTGGTTTTCCGGGGCCGGGCAGTAGTCGGGCTGCTGTGTTTCTGAATTAACTTTCATCTCCAGCAGTACCCGTTGGAGTACTTGTATGTTGCCGAGTTGTTTTGTGTGACTTCGTGGCCGTTAACAGGCGCTCAGTTTGTCGTCGTCGGTGTGATGGAACTGGACAAAATGGACGAAAACGACTGGAAGTATCATGGAGAAGGAAACAAGAGTCTGGTGGTCTCACATATACAGGTGAGTCAGCTAGGCTAACATGAAGCTAAGTTCGGCAAAATCTAGAGGAGTGTAAATTGAGCGTTAGCTTCACGCTTTCCTGACGTTATATACGCTTCAGCTTGGTTTTGCTGTCGATAGAAACTGTACTGAATATCTGGAAAAATAATGTTTTAACGGAAGAATTAAATGTCAGCATCCAGAATTTTTAAAAAAATCATCGTTACTGTTGGCCTGGGTTTGCTAGCCAGCAGCTGAGAGTACAGTTAAGTCCAATGAAAAAGATCGTAACACAGAAGCAGCAGCATTAAACTATCCCCCCCATCAGTTATTATACACTACATTTAGGTTTATGTCCAGGCAGAGTCACGGACTGACTGTGTGGTGGGGAGCTAGTTTAGCCGTTAGCAGCTTTCTCGGGTTTTCCATGCAGTAGCTGATTGAAGAGACGCTACGAGATAAACCGGGCTGCTACCTGTTAGTTTACCCTAGAGCAGTCCGATAATCTCCTGTGTTCACATCAATGCAGGTTAATCTGTCTTTACAGTGTGGTCCGATGACTGACAAAACTGGGTGTGGGGACAGTGTCCTTCACAGGACCGGTCTGGTCACGCTGTTTTTGAGCAACGTCACGACTTCATCAGCAGCGGTGTGGCAGAGACTTCCATGTGCCAAGCCTTCTTTGTGTTTTTCTTTTTGTTTACAACGTCATGTAAAAAGTTTTCCAGTTTTTTTTAGAGCTGCAATTATTAGACCGTAAATTCATTAGTTGATTGAAATAAAATATATCAGCAACTTAAAAAAAAACTTTTACAAGTTGTCATAGCCCCCTTTCAAGCAACAAGGTCAAATATTTGATGGTTCCAGTGATGACTTGTTTTGTCCTATTTCCCTATAAAGGGAATATCTTAGCACTTTGGACAAACAAGCATATTATAGGTGTCACCATGGGCTCTGAAAAATTGTGCACAGCCTTTTTGCACTATTTGTATTTCAGCATTTATTAGAGGTGGCAGTTAATCAAGGAAATAACTGGAAGATTGATCAATAATGAAAAGTGTTTACTGGTGATCATGTTGTATTATCTCTTTGCAGAATTCTGCTGCTTAATATAAAATAAATTGTAATCAGTCACTTAAGCTTTTGTTTTGTACATGTAGGACTGGGTATGGGTTTGAAACTTTCAGACACTAGTTTTTGTCCTGATATTAAATAATACCATTTTCAATATGTAAAGAAATATGAACAGGTTTTTCTACAAAGCCTTTTTATAGAAAAACAAAATAAGTGTTAAATACACAAGCAGCCAGACAAGCTTTGCCCACAGTTGTTAATATTATTGAATCTTCTTCGCAGTCTGATGTAAATGTTTGGAAGCTATCCATCATTAGCATTGATGAAGTTTTTGTTTTCCCCTGACTTGCCCTAGACTTTTCAGAATGTACCGTTTCTGTTACACTGTGGTAAAACAGTATTAGTATTTTACACTCACTCACCTCATTGCGTCTGCTGGAGATGCTCAGTGTTTCACACGCTAGTACAGGTCTGTCCTGGGTTTTATTGAGGCATCACTTGTCTAAACTGAGTTTGTATTTTATTCTTGCAGCTTTCCAGAGTTCTTCGCTTGCTCAAGTATCCAGCAGAGGACTCTGAAAACCCACCGCAGGTAAATATGAGTCTGTGTGTGGCTAATATGTGTTTGAAACTAGGAAGTACTGCTCTGTAAAAACATTTTGATGTCAAATGTGTGACAGGTTGTGGTAATGTTTACATCTTTTAGTGAACATGTGCTTATTGATCACATTTTTATATTTTTGTGTGCACATGCATTCTGTCTTTTATGTAGGGTGGCAATTTTTATTTTTATTTTTTTTAGCTTCGTGGCTTTGTGCATATTAATCAGTAAATGGGGGGGATGTCGGAAATGAATGCACATCTCCGTTCTCCAGCTCGGAGTGTGATGAGTCAACTTTACATTTCCAGCTTGTGAATTTCCGTTGTTTTGGTTAGTCATGCTGATAATGTAGCCTATTCTACCTTAGCACCAATTCTACCACCAATGTGTCTGCACTGATAGATTAAAAAAAACAACACAGTTTAACGTAAGTACTAGCAAAAATGCATGGCGTGTCGTTATGGTGCATTAACTGTGGCCCAAATTTGACAATGAATTGACAGCTCATGCTAACAAGGTAAACAAAAGTCTTCTTTCCGTGGGCATTTACAAGCTGGTTGTCTCCCATATGTGATTGGTCAATGCAGCACCTCTGCCGGATGACGTCACTGTCAGGTACAGTGCAGTGAGGGTGAAAATGGCATAGAAGGTCACATGAAGCTTCAGTTAGAAGTTAAAAGCTTCTAGTACTTTATGCACAGTTACCGCCTGGGTTTGTTTTGATTCTCACTCACTCGCTAAGAGTCGAGAGTTTAAGGGCGAAACTTAGCTGGATGGGCTTTGGACCAACATTATCATGTATACACAGGTTGTTTTCACACCGCACCTGAAGCCACAAACAGGTTCTACTGTTGATCTGGTTTTATTAACCACATAGCACCGTGTGAAACACAGTTCAAGAACTGTCAGCCATCCTGAAAATGAGTAATCTATGACTAAGAGGAGAAAGCAGCGTTCACTTCTTTGAATGAGCCCTGTCTGAACAGATCCACACTTTCCTCATACCAAAACACCCGACTGTCACTGGCAGCCTAATTAACGTTCACATCCTGCAACCTCCAGCTTGGGAACAACAGTCCATTGCTCTGTCAACATTTGATGTCAAGTCTCAGAACAGGATATAACCTGGTGTTTACTTGTGTCTTACTTGTCTTTGTTTTGTTGGTCAGACAGCAGAGCAGGCCTTCAGGCAAATTCAGAACATTGTTGACTTCAGCTCCAATGTGATGAGCAGCCTGCTGGGAGAGAAGTTCATCCACAGTGGAGTAAGAGCTTTTGTGTTCACACCCATTGCTGTCATTTAGTATAGCTATTTTAACACCCTTTGTCATTATGTTAGTTTTTATTACAAACTGTAAAAGAGCTTTGTGTCAGTTTAGCATCACACTTCTGTAACACTGTTGGACTCAAAGTGAACAGTTAAAAAAAACAAAAGGATCAAAACTGATGCAGCAACTAGTGGTGTAAAAATCACGGTTAGTTCATTTTCAGTAAAGAAAAGAAAAGCAAATCATAAAATTGTCACTTTTGTAAACAACAGTTTAACATTTTTTAAATTAAGATGTATAAACACAGAATACTGCTGCAAACTACTGTTAATAATTGCTCTAATATCTAGGGAACGGCTGCTTGAATGATGCAGGAAGCAGCGTTTACACTTCTTTTGTTAAAACCAAACGCCTATATTAACTACAATTCATTTTGTTTGCAGACGGCTTGGTCAGACATTTGGGTTAGCAATGCTAGTAGCAGCTAACATCTAACTCCACACCCCCAGAGTCTGGTAATTTTCAAACTTCTAGTCTTTCAGACCAATGTTGACTCAAGGGACATGATTTAAATTGCAAATAACTTTGGTCCATTGTTGTTCTCCACATGCTCAATGGTATTTATGAGCTTTAAACAAACAGTAAAATCAGTTGAGTTTCCCTTTTAGGCAAAACAAACAAGAAGTCATGGATGCACACAGGCCAGACTAACAAATAAAACATGCTACAAATATAATTCAGTATAATCAAGTCAAAATAAGTGAGATGTGTTGGACATTATTCAATAATACTCTTAATGTCTTGCTCAAAGGATGGCCGTAAGAGGATCGGGCTCCCTGTTCTTTCCAAACGCAGTGGAGAAACAATGAAAAATGTTTTTCTAATATGTGTTTAATTTACTGCAAGACCAGAGAGAATGGTTTATTGTACTGACTTGCAGTGACTACAGAGAGGAGCTGGATCAGGAATAAGATTGTGTAGCTTTTCCCTGTATAATGTTTTGTGCTTAATGGTGAATGTGATTATTGGTGTCAGTACAATAAGCAGAATTATTAGATTAAGCTATTTACTGAAGTTGTTGGGGCTGGGTCGCTGACAGCAGTCGGCTTCAGTTATCAGTCGCATAATAAACTGGTGCTGACTCACTGCCAGCAGATCACAGTGCTTTACATACAGTAGATAACAGAAACATAGAAGTACAGACACCTTTCTCAAACTGGATTAAATGAGCGACTTAATTTTCTCTACAGGAAGTGGTCAAACTGCCACTGGAGTTTGTACGACAGCTGTCAATCAAAGTACAACATCAGAGACCAGGTGAGACTGAAATGCCTGTTGATTATTTATGTGGGAGGCATCTGGCATTGAAATTTGTTAGAGGAATAGTTTCACGTTTGACATTTGGGATCACATAGATTCATTAATGCCAGACAAGAACACTGATGTCCATTTTTACATCTCTCAGGTAAACATGAAGAAACAGCTAACACTTAGTTTTGTAGCTTAGCGCAAAAACCAGGAACACAGGCAACAGCCTTGTGTGACGGTTACAAAATCAGCCTGCTGCCACCTGTAAAACTCATTAATGAACACCTTATTGTTATGTCATATAAAGTACTAGACAGGTAGGTTTGGGAGTGGCATTCATGGTTTCATCCAACTCTGCTTCTGTAATGGTGTTGACTTGTCTGAGAGCTCTTCTACCAGCTCTGTATATGTACAACCAAACTGCAGCTTCAGCACCAACACCTGGATGCATGTTCCAGCTGTTGTCTGAACAACATCACCGTGTCTCCAGTGACTCTGTGATTCATTCCAGATTTGATGGAGGGTGTCAGTGCAAGCGTTTACTCTCCAACAATATTCAATAAAGATTATACTGATCTTTTTTTGTTGTAACAAACATGAGAACACATCAGTGCTGAGTCTCGTCAGCGGATTTTTGTTCAGATTTAGGGAAGGAGCATTGTGTAAAATGTGACTTAATAAATAATGTTACTCAGCTACTGTGTTTTAGAGCAGCAGCGATTAGTTGATTTATTGAAAGAAAATTAAACTATTGTGATTATCGATTAATTGTCCAAGCAAAAATGCCTCATCCTGATGGCCACAGGCTGTCAAATGAGACATTTATCCCTCTGTACAGTAGGTAAACCGACCGCGTCCTGTAAATGTTAAGGCATTTGTTTGCTTATTCAGCACATGCACTGAAAATCTTCTGTGTTTGTGTCAGTGTGGCGCTGTGATAAGGTGATGGACATTTACAGCGGCTGTGCTCTGTGTCTACCCAACCTGACATCTCCACCTCTGCACCAGCCAACACACACTCCTCCACTGTGCATCGAGATCAAGGTACGACTCATCATGGCTCTTTTTAAATGTCTTTTTTTTTTGTTTTCAAATGTAACAGTAGCTTTGGCATTGTTTCAGGGAAGAGGGGGAAAACATTCAGTCCTCATAAAAAATATGCAGAAAGATCATTTTTTAAATTTGTCAGTTTTCATAATATTCTAATTAGTTCTGAGCCCAGTTTTCTTTTCAGCATCGACTCAGTAATAAAACTTCATCTTGTATTTGTTTAAGAATTTTCTCCGTCCTGAGACGCAGCCACATGTTCAGACATCTGACATCGCTGTCACGCACAAGCTAGAACAAGAAAACACATGAGTGTGACTGTGTGTGTGTGTGTGTATCAGCTGCTTTTGTGTGTTTCAGCCTAAATGTGGCTTCCTGCCGTCCTCCAAACATGTCAGCAAGGACATCAAGACCAGAGTGTGTCGCTTCTGCATGCACCAGCACTACAAGGTAACCACAACCACTGCACAGTATGACTACAGAAGTACATCAAAACCAAAAATGAGTACAGGACGCCTGTTGCTTAATGCTGGTATTTCAATATGTTGGACACATATTTAATCAGTGTTTGGGCAAATAAAAGCATTAAAGCACTTTGATTGGGAATCAGGGCCAAACAAAACCTGGTCAGTACAAGTACTTCCACAGAATAACAAAAGAACCAAACAACCACATAATACAAGTTAAAACTACAGAACAAAAACCTTTGGTGTTTGCTCTTTCATCCTTTGTCCTGTCCCCCCCCCCCCCCCCCCCCTCCCCCGGGGCGGCGGAAGTGGAAGCAATGCAGCCTGTACTGCCCTCTGGACCTGTTCTCAGGGTAGGTTTACTGCAGCCACTATCAACACTACTACAAGCAGAACTTGCATGGACAGATATAAAGTGTCTTTACACATAAAACCAAATGAGGAAAGTGGAACTAGAAAATGTGAAAACAAACTATTGTACAATACATCTACTCAAGTACGATTTTGAGCTATTAGTACTTGAATATTTTCATTTACTTCAACTTTTACATGTTAGAGGCAAATACTGTACTTGTTACTGCACTACATGTGTTTTTAAAACTTTACTTTTCAGAATCACAATAAAACAAAATACTATATAATCATAAGACTATTGATCCTTAGTGGGAAATTCCCAAGCTACCCAGCAGTATGTAAAGTACTTGTGACTATAAGCCTATGAGGTAGTTAGTGTTAGCTCCACGTTTACCAGCTGCACCATTAAAGTGATGAAAAATATAATTAGAATCAATAATATGATCTACATTAATGTGAAATGTGCCGTTCTGAATAGGGAGTCATTTTACTTTTGGTCCTTCAAGTATTTTTACTAATACATTTGTACTTTTACATAAGTAACATTTTAAATGCAGGACTTTTACTTAGAGTATTTTTGCACTGTGGTGTTTCTGCTTTTATGTAAGTAAAGGATCTGAGTACTTCCTCCACCACTGGTTATAAGCTCCATCTGTCTGTGGTCTGGGGCAGCTGCTGATGTAAAACTGAAATCGCTTTCAGCATAATGCAGCTCAGTAGATTAACACTACAGCCTCAAACTTTTACTTCTTACTACTTGTACCACCGCAGTGCTGACTCAGCTACTACGAATGAAGCTGCTGTGTTGTTCTGCGGCTGATGATCTCGGGCTTCTCTTATGTTGTTCAGGAACAGACAGAGAATGCACTTTGCCATCAGGCACCTGATAGAAGAACCTCAGAACAACTTCAAAATCTTCAAGGTGAGACACAGCTGCAGCTACACCTGCCTTGTCTTGGTCCTGGAACCTTTGTGTTTGATAGACTGCTCATACAGTCTCTGTTACTGGCTGATTTTTATTGCACCATGATTCATGAGCACTGTGCTTGCTGATCTGACATGCTCTGCTTAGCTGTTTTTGCGCTCCATTTGAACCGGGCAGTCAAAATTTCTGAGTTCCTAGTTGGAAATCTGAAATGGAACGCTCCCTCAAGTCGGATTTCCAACTCAAAGTCGGAAGAACATCACCATCTCCGACCTCAAAATCCAAGATGGCTGCTAAAGTAATATACTCTTTATTAGCACTTGTCTTATTTGTGTTTCATGAAAACAGTCGTACACACAGTACTGTCCAACTTCTATCTGTGAACATGTTGCAACAGCATCTGGCACAAAATACCACATAACGCCTTTTTTTTTTTAAAACTGGTATTGCAAACAACGGCTAACCTGGCTCAACTGGTATTTTAGTTGACTGAAACTGAACACAGTTAAGGCGGGTGCGATGTCATTTCAAGTTCTGAGGTAAATGGAAACGTGTGAGGAGCTCGGCCACGCCCTCGTATAAACAGTGACGGACATAGGGGAAAAAATGCGCTGGAAAAGCAGAGTGGAATGACCACAGCAGCCCTTCATGCTGGGCTGGAATACGGATGTGGGAAGCTCCGTGTTACAGCTCATCAAATTCCCATGTTGGAAAAATGCTGTAAATAGTCAGTATGGAGAGAAGGAATGATTACAGCAAACAAAACCTGTTTGTCCAGGACACCAACACAGACAGGACCTCCAGGACTTTTTTTTATTTTTACACATGATAATGTGCTAAAAGAGGACATGAAGTTAACTGGGGTGAGAGTAGAGGATGCTGAGGACAGAGTTAGGTGGAAACAGATGATTCGCTGTAGCGACCCCTAACGGGAACAGCCGGAAGAAGAAGAATGAGCTTGGTGGTGGGTTAATTTTTTGCTCAGTGGCTGTTTGAAATATGTCCATGTTCCATAAATGATTAATGATTATTGATTTAATCAATACAATAAACAGAAAATCTGGAGCAGCTCAAAGTGAAGAAATTAATGTGTTTTGAGCAGGAAGTGTACATTTGCAATGCTCGACACGAGAAAATGAAGAATATAAAGTATTTATATGACTGACTGGGCTCACAATACACAGTGACAGATGGAAAATCATCATCAGGTGTTTAAAATCCCCACAAAGTCAGTACTAGCCGTTTTAAAATCAAGGGTATTCGTCAACATTAGATGCATCATTTTTCACAATGCCGATACTGAGCAGCCACAGTGAGACCTGCGTGTTTGTTTTTAGGGTGGTCAGTGTATTTACAGCAGTAAGGAGGGAGGTGACGACTCGATGGACCTGAACTCGCTGCTGAATAACCTGAGACCGTACTTGCAATCCGGAAACAACCGAATCAACAATCACATGAGCAGCAAACCTGTGCTGAATGACTTCATCCAGGTAAAACCAGCCATCACACAAAGATACAAGGGTGGGACAGAAATTAAAGGAAAATCCCGAAAAAAATGAGCATAATGATTACATCTTTATGCTGTTGGGGATGCAGGTTTTTAATGCACATTGGTCCTAAAATGATTGATGCCATGTTGTAGTTTTTTTTTTTTTACAGCTTCCAAATAAGAGCATTCCTGATTGTAACCAAGCAATGTGTTGACATTCTAGCCCTTTACAGTACATTTCAATTTGAGGAAACAGTGTTGGTCATTTGTTAAATGTAGAAGAAATTTAAGTTCTCATGATAAATTTTGAGAAACCTTTATGTTTAAGCTATTTGATTCTGAATGGATCATTGAATCGGGAGATTAGTGCTGATGCTGAACATTGAGGGGTGAACACTCACGGCCCTGAGGTGTTCTGAGTTGACTTTGTCTAATAAGCAATCACTGACTAAATACAGACACCAGCTGCAGAGAGCATGTTACCCAGGTCTCATACGGAAACCTGTGTCTCTGGGTGTAGGTCCTAGCGAATGCCCTGCTGAGCGAAGGAGGAGATGGAGGGGTGGTGATGGACAGACAAGAAGAAGGACGGAGCTTCTGTGAAGCCAGTGTGTTTAACAAGGAGAGGATCCACCACGGTCAGAACCTGTCTGTCTTGTCCGTTTGTAATGGAGGTCAGGAGGCTCACATGAGTAGAGAGGTGCAAAGGTTCAGATAAACAGGCTGGACCAAAATGAAGCTTTGTAAAATAAGAAAATTGTTTCTAGAGGTTACAGGGAGCCAGTGTAGCAATGTCAGGCTGAGAGGTGACTCGTGTTCTCTCTCTCTCTGTGCAGGTGCTCAGGGTTTACCCAGCGACAGTGTTTTGTTCAGGATCCTTCAGACTCAGATGCTGGACACTCTGGACATCGAAGGACTTTACCCTCTGTACCGCAGAGTGGAACAACACCTGCAGGACTTCCCCAAGGAGAGGTAGTACAGAGTAGCCAGGTCCCAGAGGGAACTGCGGTAACACTCGTGTATCAATCACATATCAGGGATCTCTAATGTTACTTCCTGTTTGTGTCAGAACCCGTCTTCAGATAGACGGCCCCTACAACGAGGCTTTCCTGGAGAAGCTGCAGAAGTGTCCGAGTGAGGATGACGGCTCTGTGGAGTACGCTGCCGCCAAGGTTAGGCTGGTTCCTACATTTTCCCACTGACACACACACACACAGAGCTGGAAACTCTCATCAGATCCTCTGTGTAGTGGTCCAGGTTTCCTGCTCTTGCTCCTAAAAGGAGCTGGTTTTCCACACATGTACACTCAGTTGAAGTTTATTAGGTACACCTAGATAAAATGATTGCAGTAATGAGGTCAGGCTCAATCACAGAAACAGCTCTCTGTATAATGCAACACAAACTAGAGGCTCCAAAATGATCATACAGTTGAATTAACATCTCTGTGAACATTATCACCTTCATGAAGGAGGGTTTGATTACAGGACTGGTACGTTTTAGCTTGGTGTACTGAATAAACTGACTACTGAGTGTATGTGATGTCGATACTGCCTGCCCAGGCGTTGATGCACAGTGAACCCCCAAGTTTCCCCGGATGGTTGGAGCCATCGGTGTGAGTTGGCGCCGCAGATGGCTGCCTCGGTTCGGTACCGAAAAATTCCATGTGTGTAACATACTTGGCCAAATAAAGGTGATTATCCTTATCCTAACTCGTATTTTTTCCTAAGGTCCATCAGTACCGTGTCTCCATGACAGCCAAGGACTGCTCGATCATGGTTGCCCTGGTGCCCAGAAATGAGGAAGAGGAGGGCGATGAAGGGTAAGAATTTGGTTCTGAAGTTACTGTCTGTCACTTAGTCACCGCAGTGATTGAACATGAAAGGAACTAGGTTTTATGTTATGCCACCATCATGTTGCCTGCAAATGCATGACACAAGGAAAGAGCACTGCTCCATAGTGCTACTGGTGGTCAGAGCTCCACAGGGCAACTTCTGGAAACCGGTATGACATTACGCTGCTCTACCAGTTAAACGCACAGTCGTTCATAGTAACTCCTCTGCTGTTTGTTATTGCAAGCTTCCTGCACATGCTACAAAAGGCTTTAGTGTTCGGTGCTGCCTGGCATGAAGTTGAACAGCTGAATAGCATGAAGTGGTGCTTGATCATTGCTGTGACTCAGTTTGTCATACTGCTTAAACTACTGATTGATTGTATTGATAATCTGTTTTTAAAAAAAAGACATTTGAAGACCACATAAGGTTTCAAGGAAACTGCAATAGAACCACACACATATCTTTGTAGGTGGGCTTCAACCAGCTGTTTTTTTTTTTCCATTGGCGGGTTTTTTGGTTTTCCTTAAAATGGCGATATTCATAACTGTCTAGAGCCCAAGCAGATTCTTTGTTGCATCCAACCAATAGTCTAAAGCCAAACAGGCAAAGACAAGCATCAAATCTTTACATTTCAGAAGCTGAAACTAGGTAATGTGAGGTAATTCTGGCTTGGAAAGCTGATTGATTAATTGAATAACAATTTAGGTTCTGTCTAAAGGGACGGTGAAGTGGGAAGTGGTTCAGTGTGTGGTACCTGATGAAGTCCACCAGGTGGAACCAGAGATTGGCTGAGCATGTTTCATGTTGAGATACCCTTCTTCCTGTTCATTGACCCTCCTCCTGTCCCCTTTCTCCTTCACTCTCTCCAGTCAGAGATGGATTAGAGACTTCCTGTCCTCCAGGCCTCCTGCTTTCTCCTACTCAGTCTCCATCTTGGATCTTGACCCGAAGCCGTTCGACAGCATCCCCCGCCAGCTGCGCCTGGATCAGAAGATAGTCTCCTGCTACCTGAGGACTGGTGGAGCCTTGCCAAAGGGCTCTCTACCGCCTCTCCCTGGCATCTTCACAGCTGGAGAGAACGAGGACTGTAGGCTGCTCTTCCACCCTGTGTGAACACCCAATCAGACCTGGGCAAACCTGTTCCCTGAAAACTGGACTTGCTGATGCCACAGACAGAGGAGAGATGCCATGTTGACGCACAGGTCGGGAATCACTTAGGATGTGAATGTTCCGCATTACTGACATGGAAATTGGTATTAAAAACTGATCTAGGAGAAGGGCAAATACTTACCGTCTTAAAACTGACTTGACCAGCTATGACCTGTCCTTTAACTTCCTGATGGACTGATGCGGTCATTGTGGCAAGTCTCTAACCCTTCCTCTTCTCCATGGCAGCGTTAACACAAAGTTCAATCTGTCATTCACAATTGAAGCCCAAACCAAAAATTCGGCTGAGCATGAGTGCAGACTGGAAATGACCATCACACTACCAGACTACAAACTGCAGCGTCACCTTCACTCTGCTCTGTATTTGATCACTACCCACATCAGGGCTGATGTGACCATGTGCTGCCACAGAACAGGGGCGGGTTATGAGCATGTCTGGTTACATTAGGCAGACCCACCAGAGCAAAGGCTGCTGGGTAGCAAGGAGCACTTCTCTTCACAAGGGCCAAGCTTTGAGCTGCTGCTCCGCTGGTTTTGGTGCCATAAGTGGCTTGTTGTGTCTTTGCCCATGTGCCTGTTCTGGGAGTGTGGTGGTGTGCGTGTTGAGAAAACTCACTTTGTTACAGGCGGTGTTCACAGCTGAGATCTGAGACTTTTGCTTTTGTTTGTCTGTGTTCAGACAGACACCAGATTAGTGTCAGATTTGCTGTGGGCGCAGCCATGAACTCGCAGTACCTTGAGCCCCCGACGACCTGGATCGAAGCTCAGCAGGGTCGTATGTTCTTTGCGAAAATGTGTTCAGGAGCACTGGGAGGTTTTGGAGGACGGTGACAACCGGTCTTTGTATCGATCAGCTCTTTCTGGACTTGAGTCTTCTCAGGTACAAATTCCAGTTGATCTCACCGTCCTCTTGAACCAGCGGCGCTTCAGATAAACTGCTAACACTTGACTTCAGTTCCTGTTTACAGCGTCCATTCTCCAAACTTTGTCAGTCTAAAACGGCTCACACTACAGAACCAAAACCTCAGACAACAGAAGAATCCTTCATGCTCTGTTTTGCTTTGATCTCCCAGCGCCAGGTGTGTTTTCTGAAACTCTATGATGGATGACTTGTTTATCTGCAGCGTCAGCAGCAGGGTGATGTGGTCAGCACTGCTGAAACCAAACACCAAATGGGTTTAAATCAAGATGATTAAGTCCATCAATTTGAAGACCAGCTCTTTCTAACAGCTGTCACACTGGACAGTTTGACCTCTAATCAATCATATCACGCCCTGTTTGACTGACAGCTAGCTGCTTCCTTTGGTGCCTGTTTGTCTGGGAGATGGAAGCGTTTAAGGCTTGAGAGTGGACAGCAGTGAAGTGAACCAACCACTGATTGCTCTAACTGCTGAAATGAAGATGCAAAGGCAGCATGACAAGGCAATGGACGCACAGAGGGGTTAAGAGGGAGGGGGGTTGGATATCGCTCTGCTGCTGTAGCGTCGTCTCAGAGGGAGACTGTGTAGGTCTGGAGATGTTTATTCAGCGGCAGTTTGATGTTAACTGTTTTAAAATCTGTTACAGCAAAAGTGTTTAATCAGAAAAGCCGCTCATTAACAAGTTCTTCGGTGTCATAGCTGACTAGAGTTTTGTTTTTACTATAATAATGAGGACACAGCCCTGTTTTTGTCCCATGCATCTTCATTACATTGAAGTCACAAAGCTGAAACTGTGTTTGTGTCGTGCTGCATGGCCGTGTGAAGGTTACACATTCTGTGCATTAACAATATTGTTAATCATTATTTAAATAGCACTTATTTATCTTGGATGACGAGACTTTGGCCGACACCAGACATTTCTATTCATTAACTTCTTTTGGTACTTTTGTAATTTATTGGACATATTAGTGAGGTTTGCGAGCAGTGTTTACGAGTCTGTTGAACGTCCTTCCTCAGGTTGAAACATCATCATGTCCATGTAGAATAAAATATATTAACGGGACAGAATTGCTGCAACCAGCAATTAGTTTAATTAACCTGTAAATTATTTTCTCAAAAGATCAGTCACTTTGTCTGTATAGTTTCCAAAAATGGCCACTAATAACTGACCCACAGCCAAGCAGATGTTTTTAGTTTTATACCAGATACGACATGTGAGAAGATGGAATCAGGGAGGTTCTCAAAAAATCCTAAAACTGATGATGAAAGGTGATTTTCTGCCAAGTTAAGGACAGCACCGTGCAGGAACCCCCACACAACAAACGCAGTCAAAGCTTTGGTTTGCTGGCACAAACAAACTGCAGCTGCTGTTGATCTCGTCGAAGCAAGCGCATAACTGGACCTTGTTTGGTCAGCATGGATGAGACGTCCTAAAGCTGCGCATGTAAAATTTAAACTTCTACTTTTTCCATGACAACAGAGTAAAGTCTTCAGATGAGGACAGTGATGTGGCTGAAATACTTTTGTTGCTAATTTTAAGTCGCATCGTATAAAATAGTTTTAGCTTTTCTTTTTTAATTAAAGGAAAAGGTTTAAAAAAAAATTTTTAAATGTCTAATATTTTCTATCTAGATGAACAAAGAACCTAAATTTATGAAAGATTTAATGCAGAAATGACACTCATAGAAAATAGAGCAGATGAGCTGTAAAATATTCTTTCAAATGTATGCTGAAGCTTACAGAACTGTTTTGTGTCCAGACCTCTGTCCTCACACTGAGACGAAGCTCCGACAGGTATGCTGGAGTCTGATTGGTCGCTTGCCTCCACCTGCTGCCTGAGTGTCAGCCTGTGGAAACATCACAGCACTGTGATACCTACAGGCTTGTAATAACTGCATGAGTGTAAATAGCTGAAGAGAACTATTTGAAAGTAAAGGCGACACTGCTGTCTGGCGTTTTGTATTTAAATTATTTATTTTTGTAGATTTTGACCAATGAGCTCTGCTGTTACTGCCGGCACAGTCGTGCTCTTTCTATTGAATAAAGATTTCTAAGAGACTAAACCATCACTCCGTTTACTGATCTGTCTTTACTTTTTTTATGCATGTATTTAAGATGAAGTCCTCGTGTACTGCAGGTCTCGATGACAATCACACAGCCATTTCACACACACAGTTACAGATGGAGGCTCGTTTTTGCACCAGCAATCAGGGTTTACACTAATAGATGAGATGCGAGTTGTGTGTCCTGTGAGAGGCTGACCGCCCTGATGACAGACTCCAGAGCAGCTTCAGGTCCCAGAATCCTCAGCAGGCTCTGAAAGGACTCAGCAGCGCCGCCCACAGCCTGAGAGGGAAACAGCTGCAGTGCTGCAGAGATGATAGAGAACCACAAAAACTAGACTGTTGCTTCACCTGGATCATTCTGCCAGTTTACATACAGTCAGACGATGAACTTAATTGCCATTTATGAAGCCAAAAAAGTGATATGAGCTGACACACACTCAAGGATGAATCTATTTGACTTACAAATATATTTTCCTAAAACGCAAAACTGAGCATCAGTCATAAATCATACCCCTTTAAAAACTAAATGAGATTAGTGGATTAATAGCACTGTTATAAACTTGTGTTAGACAATAATTATTCCTGAAAGTCAAAGTCAAACTCTCAATCTGATGCTAGTGTGGTTTCTGCTAGATTTATTGTTTTTACTTGGAGGACCTCAGATGTCACAGTGCCCCTCACTTCTAAAACCAGCCTGCAGCGTTACTGTACTGGGAGTGTTCCTTTTGGCTTCCTGTGTGCAGGGTTCAGCTGACCTGTGGCATTCGAACGTCTCACCTCTGTCAGGGATCTTTGTTAGCAGGTTGATCATCGGAGTGACTCTGCCCTCCAAGGAAACCACAACTGACCAGTGAACAAACAGGACACAGCTACAGGCAAAAACACAGGTGGCACAACGTCAGTAGACCAGAACCACAGATCACTGTCGTCAATACACCAAACAAAAACTCAACTCACCCCAAAAAGATTTTAAGGTTTGTTTCAACAGCTGTGCTTGTTATGACCACAGTTACAGATGGTGACAAATTAAAGACAAGTCCAGAATAAATCAGTGGAAATGAAAAATGCAGCATCAATGATTAAGCTGATGATTATTTCCTTGATTATTTATGTTTTTATACATAGAAGGCAAAAATGACCATTTTGACTGCAAAGGTGGCATCTTCAAATGTCCTGTTGTGTCCAGCCAACAAATCCAGAGGGATTCAGTTTATTCTCATGTCTGACAAGGAAAAGCATCAGCTCCTCGCATTAAACAAGGCGGAGCCAGAACACGTTGGTGATTGTTCCAGAATATTTGCTGGTCAGTGAACTGACTAATGGTTGCAGCTCTAGGTTACAGAATGGTTGAATGAGGATGACAAAATGAGGGAATGTGCTTTGGAAGAATGAAGTTTCCTCCCTCCAACAGAGGAGACGTGAAGCTGCTCTGGAGACAATTATACTGTATGTTGCAAAGTCGTATTTAATGGCATTTACATGTTCCTTATATTTACATATTAGCTACAGTAGGTTTGTGAAAAATGAAAATGTTCTGATGCAAACTATAACAGGGAAAACTTTGGGGCCAAATGTTTTCATTGGAGGGCCAGATTTTGCCCACAGACCTCTATTTGCCCACCACTGCTGTACAGTGACAGTAACATATGGTGTGAATTAGTGCAAGTTAAGGTATAACATTATATAGAGTTAAGTGTATGTTGATTTTATGTATATGAATAATTTATTTACCCAGGAAGCTTGGGGTGGTTCAGGGTCATGACCTCAGACCTGCAGCCTCCAGGAAGAGAGACAACAGATGGATACTTCGCCTGCAGAGACACAGAGAGAGAGAGTGTTAATGATCACGTTCTGATTATTACATCACTGTGCAGATAATTTACAGTGAATATTAATAATCCAAAATATGGAGATAAAAAACTGCATCCAACATTCTTAAAAGAAAAGCACAGCACAGTGGTGGTTAGCACTGTTGCCTCACAGCAAGAAGGTTCCGGGTTCGCGTCCCGGTGCCTTACTGTGTGGACTCTGCATGTTCTCCCTGTGCCTGCATGGGTTCTCTCCGAGTACTTCACCTTCCTCCCACGGTCCAAAGACATACAGCTCAGATTGATTGGTGAGCCTAAATTGCCCATAGGAGTGTGTGGGAGTGTGTGCGGTTGTCTACGTGTCAGCCCTGTGATAGACTGGCGACCTGGTGGACCCCACCTCTCGCCCAGTGTCAGTGATTGGCTCCAGACCCCCATGACTCTATTCAGGAATAAGCGGTGTAGATTGATGGATGGATGGATGGAGAGTCAATTACTGTCATTACCATCGACATACAGAAGATGGCAGTCACTTGTTTCTATTTAGTAAAAATTATTTTACTTAGAAAATGTTTAACTACTTATTTACAATTTAATTTTCAGGGGTCAAATCACCAGGTAAGTGTTAGTTAAGTCCTGGCCTGTATTTAATAAGTTTATTTTAAGAAAACTGGTAAATGACTCCTGTCGCAGCTGTTTTGTCAGTTGGCCTGCAGGGGGCGCTGCAACATCTGTCTAATAACCTGTAATCTAGGCTTCATTCACCATACAAACTGCACTAGTTTGTTCATGCAGAGCTGCATAGAGACAC